AACCAAAGGGCAGCTAAGCAACAGAAGAAAGTAGTTATTATTTCATAGCATGAACCAGGAAGAACTCACGTGGAGAATCAAGACAGAGATGTCAGAAGAAAGCTTCTAGGTATCAGGAATAAGGAAGGACTTTCAAGGACAATACGACAGAGACTAAAGTAGACAAGAGCTTGGAAATATCAGATTATGCAATGGGCAAGCTTGAGGGCGTAAAGAGCAGCAATAGAAGACAGATAATGTATATTGACAAATTCAAAAGCACGAAGGTCACGGTAATCAGGAGAGACAAAAAGGGAGGTAACTAGAAGCAACATAAAGCAAAGGGCTGTGGTGTTTCTTTAAAATGGAAAGTGAAAGCAGACAGCTACACCTACAAGTCACCCTCCACTACATCACTAGAGTGGTCTACTGGGTGAGGCAGTGGTCCTGGGCCTCAAAATCTCACAGCAGTCTTGCTTAGTGTGCTGTCCTAAGCACAGCATTCAGCTTCGGATGACTGAACCCTCCGGTGATAACTCCACAGACAATGGAGAACTAAGGTAAGCACAGAAGCTCCTTACAAGGCAAACAAACCAGCATTGTTGTTTGTTACAATGTTATCTGCTTCCTACAAAACAGAGAAATAAAAAGTGCTAAGCCCAAGACTCCGGTTGACTCAGACATGATGCTAACTCACTGCTGTGTCTCTCCAAATACTCATTAGCCTCACGGGACTTTGGAACAAGGAAAACTACTCAAATATGCTGTGTTCCTGTTGCTTGGTACAACTATGAGTAACGTCATTTGTTCTGACTTAGGAGTCTTGTGTTTTCTGCCAACAACCATGAAACATTAACAGACTAATTCATTAGCTTATGAAAACAGTAGTTATTTCTGTGTGCCAGCCTCTATATCAGTGGTTCTCAACCTTCTCATGTTGTGACACTTTAATACAGTTTCTCATGTTGTGGTGACCACCAACCATAACACGATTTCATTGCTACTTTATAACTGTAATTTTGCTACTGTTATGAATCTGATATCTGTAAATATCTGATATACAGGGTATCTCATATGGGACCCCTGTGAATGGGTCATTCCATATAGCCCCCCTCCCCAACCCCCACCTCCCGCAAGAGGTTGCAACCCACAGGTTGAGAACCACTGCTCGGTATGTTTTACATGTATTATAGTATTTAGTTCTCACAAAAAATACTTAATGAGGTACTAATACGAGGAAACGGTGCTTTAAGATGTGAAATAATTAGCCCAATGTTTCAAAACCTGCAAACAGGAGGCTCAGTGGGATAGAAACAAATGCAGAGACCCACAGCCAAACATTAGACAAACCTCGGGAAATCCTGTGGAGGGGGGGGGGAGAGATTATGGGAGCCAGAGGGGCCAAGGACAGCACAGGAAAACACACAGCCAACTAACCCAGGCTCCTTGGGGGCTCAAGGAGACTGAACCACCAACCAGAGAACTCGCATAGGACTGACCCCAGCCATCTGCACATGCCTTACAGTTGTGTAGCTTGCTCTTCTTAGGGGACTCCTGGCAGAGGGAGGAGGAACTGACTCTGATGCCTCTCTTGGGACCCTTTCCTCCAGTTGGGTTGCCTCATCTGGCCTCGGGGGTGAAGAGGAGCCTAGTCTTGCTGTAGCTTGATCTGCCACTGCTGGCTGATGTCCATGGGAAGCCTGTGCTTTTCTGACAGGACAACTGGGGGGCGGCGGGAGGGGGGAGTTGATTGGGCTGGAAAAAATTAATTAATAAAAATAGAAAAGTTAAAAAAAAAAAAGATGGCTCAGTGGTGAAGAGTATTTGATCTCTTCCAACTACCGGAATTAAGTTTCGAGCACTCACACCAAGTGACTTACAACCATCTCAAACCAAAGCTCCAGGGGATTTTCTGGTATCCTTGGAGACCAGCACACACATGGCACACACACACACACACACACACACACACAAAAAAAAAGGAGTTTTTTTTTTAATTGCAAACAGAGCAACCTAAATATAAGCCTAGATGACATTAAGGCCTGCTTTTTGTTGTACTAGAGATGGAATAGCGCCTTCTGTGCATTCTAGGCCAAGCGCTCTGCCACTGAGCTACATCCCAGCTCCCTAACTTGATTTTAGCACTTCAAACCTCCTTCCTTAGTTGATTTATCAGGAGCAACTTTAATTCTCCAGATACAAAAGTACTCAGACCTCTATAGTACAAACACCTCAAATTACATTGTAGGAATGTTAACATCATCTTAAAATGTAAAAAACAAAAGTATTTTGTGGTCAAAGATCAAAAACAACTAGGGTAAACAAACCTAAGCTACTGTCTTTACTAAAGAGCTTCTCACTATGTTAGTATGTAAGACGCAGTCCAAGAACAACTACTGTCGGCATTCTAGTACATAGTTCGAGAAACTGCTGCTATAATTAACACTGCCAATTCAAACTGTACACCGTCTTTTACATCTTAGTAGTCAGCTTATTGTAGGTCCATGAGCCTTCAAAATAGAGAACATCAAAGCCAGAATATAGATTGGCACCTGCAAGACAAGTTAGCTACCTAACCGTTTGTTTGGCACATTGCTCTTTTCCTACCAAGCACAACTAAATTTCCCATAACACGGTGAAAGTATACATCATGCCCAGTTTTGTCTTCCAGAAATTAGAAGAGTACCAAGATTTTGAGGCTGTAATTTTATCTACTGTTATGGATCTTTTTAACAATGGATAGGAGAGAGGAGGGTGAAAAAAAAAAACAATTTATATAGTCAGGAATGGTGGTGTACAAACCGTTACAGCAGTGCAGGGCTGAGGCTGGACACGAGGGTGTTTTATTCAGCAGGAAAGAATGAAGCTACAACATTCACAGGAAACAGGAAGACAGATGGAACTGGGAGGTGAATATGTTAAGTGAAATAAGCCAGATTCAGAGAGAAAAGCACATGTTTTCTAATAAGGGGAATCTAGATTTAAATTTATACATACCCATGTATACATACATACATATGTATATGTGGGATGTGAAAGTACAAAAAGAACTTATAAAGTTCACTACTTAATATGCTAGCCGAAGCAATAATAATACACTTTAGATGGTCCAGATAAAGTGTATATATACATGCATTAAAACACAGTAGGTCATTCTGGTGGTCCAGGCATCACCAGTCTTTAGAGGTGAGTTTTAGCTCTTTAAATAAGAGTCAAGTAGCACAGCACAGCATTTCTCAGCCCTACATACAGTTCCCTATCTCCTGACCTAATCATACCTTAACACACAACAACCAAAGTTGTTTATGAATCATTCTAGAGTTTCAAAATAAGACCTGAGCTAAAGGCAGCCATAGAATAGTCGTATCCATCATATAAACTGGGTTTCCAGATTGAGAACTAGCTATAAAGTCTACTCAAAACATGAAATTCAGTTGTACCCATGCCATGTTCCCAGTTACGTAATAGGAAGCCATTCTCAGCAAACCAAGAGACTTACTGTGTAACCGCACAAGTAAAAGAATTTAAATGCAAATTTAAACTGTGATAAAATTCTCTAATGCTTCTACTTATAAAGAAAAATAAAATACCATTCTACCTAAAATAAGTAATTGATTTAGAACAATTTTTGCCCTCAGCCCTTACGGAGTGCCTCCACCCATTCAAAGTCTATATAGGGACAAAGCTTCAGTTTTGGGGGGGCGGGCAAATGTGGCATTTTCCACCTACTTTGAAAGTAAGACAAAAAGAAAATAAATTAACAGTAAAAGTAAACAATGTTTTATCTGGAGAGATTTTTGAGGGGGAAAAATAGTTCCAACTAGTTACATCTATTGAAAGCAAAAGAGACAACATAATAAATTGTTTACCATGAAAACTATTGTAAGCAGCCACCATGGTTGAGCACAGTAAGGAAAATCAGACCAAAGAAAGAATCCAAATCAATTTATATCACTACAAGACACAAATAGAAATGGGAAAGATTTGAAAAAGAAGTATCAATGTTAAAATTATCCAAGATGTTTATCAGCGGCATTTCTTTCTTACAAACACTTAGAAAAGTGTCTTTAAAAGTATAATGCTGGAGTTGGGGATTTAGCTTAGTGGTGGAGCACTTGCCTAGCAAGTACAAGGCTCTGGGTTCGGTCCCCAGCTCCGGAAAAATAAAAAAATAAAAATAAAAATAATAAAATAAAAATAAAAAAGTATAATGCCACCCAAAACTGACAACTTGAAAAGCACCTTCTATAAAATGGCAATTTTTTTTCCTAAGCCATCCTGAAATTTTTCAGAAAGTTCATAATCTGAATCACTTGGCCGTGTTACAGCAAATAAACTCAAATGATGCGGAAGCCTTACCAAAGAAAAATGAAAAATTAGTTATGGCACGATCCTCTCTTACACAATTCTTGGCATTTGTCAAAAGGCACTTGATGGAAATGCCTGAGCGACAACACACGAGCTAACAGACAGGAAAGGTGACATAGGGGACCAACTGTACAATTTTATAAACTACCACACGCACCATCAACAACATGCCCAAGTGCTTTTCTCCTCTCCCTCGGTCAATAGGTTTCACTACACCACCTGGAAGTTTATAAACGAAAACGCAGCACAGCCAATACTGCTGGCCATGACATTTACGATAGTTATCCCCAACGACACCATCAGAACACACGAAGGGGAAAAAAAAATACAGAAATTCTGACAAAGAAAATACAGGGCACGTTTCGCTCATTTAAGTATAGTTAGAGGTTTATACACACAGTGAGAGGTAAAACTCTGTATTAAATGAAAACTATTTTTTTTCCAAACAAGATCTGAAATTTATTTCTAATAAAACGCTCCATGCCCACCGAAACCCACACAGACACACACACACACAGTGGGGACAGATATTTTTTTTCCCCCCAACAAACGATCCCTTTAATACTAAGAGAATGGACAAGGGCGGAGTGACAAGGTTAAGCAGAAGAGAGGCACATTCGTCCCCCACCACACAGATCCACACAGCCCCTACAGCCGGTTTTCAACCCAGCTGCACCCCACTCTACACAGCGCTCACCCCCACCCACCCCACTCCATCTGTGACGCCGCCGATCGCCTCCCTGACAGGTCCGTGCACGCAGCCCCGCCGCCGCCGGAGGAGGAAACCCCACGACAAGGTCTCACGCGTGTCTGAGTCAGGGAGGAAGGAAATGACAGGAGGGGACCCGAAGCCGGAGCGGGTCGGGGAGGTCGGGGAAGGCAGCGGGGTTTGGTGCGGAGCAAGCAGGCCGTCGGCTGCGGCCGGGGGCTGGAAGGGTCTCGCGGGGACCGGGAGGCAGCCGGTCCTCTCCGGGGGTGGCCCGGTGGCGGCGGCCGTGGGGTGTCCCCCTCCCCCGGGGCCCGCGCACTCACCACCTGGTAGCGGCCAGTCCCCGGCTGGTGGTGATCCATCCTGCCCGCCTCGGGGTCTGGCTTCCGAGCGGGCGTGTCCCCTCGGGGCTCAGCTCCTTCGGCCTCCCCGGTGGACGCCGCCGCCGCCGCCGCCGCAGAGCCCCTTCCGCCGCCTCGGGTTCTGCCGCCGCGCTCGCCCGGCGGGGCCGCTTCACTTCCTGCCGCTCCCTCTGCTCCGGCGGAGACCTCCGGGTCGCTCGCCGAGCCGCGCCGCAGCTCCGGGGAGCCGCGCGAGCTACTGAGCATGCTCGGGGCGGACGCGCATGCTCGCTGGCTCCGCCGGCGTCCCATCCGCGTCCCGGCGGCGGCTGCGAAGGTGTCCCTAGGTGGGAGGAGATGGAAAAGTCAGGCAAGTCCCGGGGAGATCTCCAGGGTGTCAGCCTGTCGGGAGTGGGCGGTGGCAAAAGAAGCGGGGGGAGAAAAAAAAAAGAAAGAAACAATCGCCCCGCTTGATTGGACTTTTTCCGAGAGGGCAGGTTTCACTGTGGGGCGAGCGAATGCACCGTCACTGCGAAGGCGAACGTTCAGGGGAGAGGAGGTGCATTCCTAGAGCACGTGAGAGCGAATCGCCCTCTTGGTAGTCCCAAGCCCAGAGCCATCTTCAGGGCAGTCGTTCAAATCACTAATGAGGTAATGAGTTACCAAATAAGTGTACATTATATAGATATATATATATGCGGCTTTAGAGTCACAGTAAAATTTCGAGGAAGGAAAAACACACATATTCTTGCTTCCGCTTATGCATAGCCTTCCTCGGTAGAACAGGGAGGGCATTTGTAGCAGCTGTCGAACCCGCAATAACATACCATTGTCACCTAGAGTCCATAGATTGTCTTGGGGTTCGTTTTGAGTATTGTACAGTCTATGAGTTCTGACAAATAATGCCATAACGATGCACCTTATAGTTCATACCGAATGGTTTCACTGCCCTGAAAATCCTGAGCAGGACTTTTCCTGCCTCTTTCTTTTGCCCCCTTCTTGGTAGTAAAAGATTTAAGAATCCAGCTGACTCTTCAGACATATCCCTATGCCTTACAAAGAAGCCTTCCGAAATAGGAAATGAGGACAGAAGAAAATAATGAAATGAGGTAGAATTTTTGTGGTCATACTGGGGTAATACTAAGATTTGACAATACTAAGGCATAACTTTTTGTGGAATATCATAATACCTGGTGGCTAGCAACACATGACCTACTGTGTATGTGCATCTGTTTCTCTCTAACAAGGCACAGGGTGTACCAGGCTTTTTTCTTTTAGGCTATCAACCAGCTCCCAAATCATGACATGGAGACTTATTAGTTATGAATGGTCAGCCTTGCTTAGGCTTGTTTCTGGCTAGCTCTTTTAACTTGAATTAGCCCGTTTCTTTTCATCTACCTTTGCCTGGTAGCTTTTTACTTTTCTTTTCTTCTGTGTATCTTACTTTCCTTGCTTCCTCCAGTGTCTGGCTGCTGGCTGCCTGGGTTCTGGCCCCTCTTTCTCCCTCATTCTCGTCTCTCGTTCTTCTGTCTTGAGCCCAGATTTCTCCTCCTATTTATCCTCTCTGCCTGCCAGCCCCCGCTGTCCTTTCTCTGCTTAGCTATTGGACATTCAGCTCTTTATTAGATCAATCAGGTGCCTTAGGCAGGCAAGGTGAAACAAATTCAACACATCCTTACATAATTAAACACATATCCTTACATCGTTCAACGCATGCAGCATAAGCGGATGTAGCACCTTCACATGGCTGAAATAGTATTCCACAGCATAAACAAATGTGACACATCTTTGCCTAGTTCAAATTATATTCCACAACAGAGCTTGTTTCTCTGGCCAGAAGAAGAGTATGGTGGACCAGCAAAAGGTACCTTTTAATCAAAACATCTACTTATTGTACCCTAAGAACTATGACCCCACCTGATCTGGCCCAACCATCTTTTTTAAGATAACCAAGCCCTTTCTCCATAAATTATCTTACTCTGGAGATCCCCTGAGGGGAACTGGGGGGATCTGAAAACCTCTCACTTTACTTTCATACATGTACAGAGGAGAATTCTAAAACAAAGGAAGCCAATAGAGGAGCCTGGACAACTGGTTCAACCAGCAAGATACAACAAAGTTCAATAATCTTTGGAAAATCGTTAACTAAAAAGTTAAGTCTTCCTGATGTTTTGTTTTGTTTGTTTTTTTCAAATCATTCATCAGATCTCTATTTGGGCCATCTTGAAATATCTAATATCACCATTACCAGTCTAACAATAATAAATGATATTGCCATACCTAATTTTCTTTAAATTTGCTTTCATGTGCTCCAATGTAATATATTTTAAATTCTAAAGTAATAAGCATGTCATCTCATTGATATTATTGGTATAAATGCTAGCTCCCCCTTAGAGTTATCACCCTAAATAGTATTATCTTTCATGACACCTAATGTTAGCAAAGAAAATTAGATTCCTATACAACTTCTTATCTATAAAGATGACTTAGAATTGAATTTTTATGTCCTTTTATTTTCATTAGCCGCTTAAATTCACTTGTTTTTAAATTTCATTACTTCTAAGAAAAAGGAGCCATTGAAAATCAGAGACCTGACTCAAAGTAGACACCCTGAATCCTGTTTAGATATCAGTTGTTTCACTTTGCCCCCGCCCAGGTTCTCTGAATATGTTTCTCCTCTCACAGAGCAGATGACACAATTCAATGACACCACACATTCTCGGGGAGGAAGTAAAAGAGAACAGTGGAACAAAGCACCAGCACAAGGCACTGGCATCTCCTGAATCTCGTCCCTGTGTGTGTCGTTTTAGCCTCCACACAACTCTCGGGTGTAGGCAGACATCACTTAGCAGAAAGAGAAACTAAGGCACAAAGAGAGTGAGCCACTTTACCAGGGCTAAAGTCACCAGTAAGTGGTGATAGGCACCAGAACCTCTACAGTGTTAGGCACTGTGCTAAATATTGCACCCTAGAAAAAAGAACAAGTCCTTGTCTCCATCTCTCCCGTGGCACTCATGCAGAAGAGAGAAAGTTCTGATACATCGTAAATAGCCCGTCTGAATTCCTTCAGTTCTACCTTTTTCATCCGCAGGAAATCATGATGCTTTCTTGTCATCTGCATAAGAGGCTTTTTGATCACTTTTCCCCATGTCAACTAACCTACGACCACAACAAAACAAGATGCTCACATGTCCCCTGGGAGCCACTCCTTGGGGATGAAGTAGAAATCCTCTTAAGAGATCTGAAACAAGAAATGACAATATTCTCTAGAGGTCTTAAACAATATCTGGTAATATTTTCAACACTTGATCTTTTAACAATGACTCCACTTAGCTTAAAAAAAAAAAAAACTGATGGTGATTCATTACCCGAAGCCACCTCAAGTGGAACTGTAGAATTTTACTGTAGTTGACTAACACTTCTTGCGAACCCAATCAAATTGCATCTCCAAATACAACCACCCAAATGTTTACAAGTGCTGCATGCCATCCTGGGTAGAATATCTGCCCCCGATTCTCTTTCAGGAAAGTTTGGTCTGCTCAGCTGTAAGGAATGTGGGCCACCAGCATCTTCCGGTTATTGGCTTTGAGGCTTTAATCCTGAAGTGATGCTCATTTCTGGACAGCATCCAGCCACTCACTGATGAGGCAATTGGACAATGCCTAAGCTGTTCTTTTGTAACACCAGACCTCTTTAAGCCAAACTCACCAAACTGTTGAGCAGGTACTTGGTCAAATCTGCATCATCTTAGGGCTGCTCTCCCTGCCTAGCCCTTTTTCCTTTCCGACTCGTTACTCCCCAGTGAACCTTAATTTTATGTCAGCATCTGCTTTCTAGAAAGCCCAACCTAGGCAAGTACCAAGATGTAAAATGATAGAATATTATTGATACTATCAAAATTGTGTTAAAATAACCACAACTGTCATTTTGTGGCTAGCTTTCGTGTCCACTTCTCATATAGATGTGATGTGTCTTTAACCCTCACAGTAAGAACAACTTTGATGTTATTCAATAGAACAATAACGTGAGGTCATAGGAAACTCTTTGTTGGACACTCACTTTTCTCTGGGGACTACCCCACCTTCCCAGAGGAATAGCCATTCCCTCTGTGACTAAACCGATTTTATTCACCATCATCATTCCTAAGCAGGTCTGCTGAGCGGCATATACATACACTGAATTCTTCATTAAGATTCCCATAAGTTTAAGAGCAGTAGAGATGTTCTTCCCCACCGAGAGCCACAGGTCTAAATCACAGATTGGCAAGGGATCCCATCTCTGGAGATTTTTAGTTTTGGGTTACTCCTTCTACACTGTACAACATGTAAATATGTTATCCTCAAAGTAGCTTCTAGCTTTTGGCGGATAGTGGGACCCAAATCCTGACAATTAACTGAAGAAATATATGTGACTTTGTACATTTATCTACAGAATGACTGAAAAGTAAATTACCTTCTCCTAGAGACTTCTATCTATATCTAACTAAAACTCATTGTCATTTTCTGAACTTTAATATTCTAAAATATATTTCAGAGCATGTGGAAGTCTGCTTTTCACTTTAGTAAATGAGAACAAGCACATTTATCAATCCAGACTTTTTCAACATTACTGTATATATTTGTCCTTAAAGCAGTTGTAGGCTTGCACTCAATTTAGCATCATATCGTGTTCCATATTTAGCTGGTTATGAGATCCTGTCATCTGTTCAGCTCAGAGAAAATGTAAAGTTAGCAATTTGACAATGTGGCACATGCTTTTTTGCTCCCTCCTTGTTCTCTTCCAGTATAAAGGGAAAATATAAAATGAAACTATCTTCCGTCCATCAGAATTCAGCTACAGAAACTGAAACAGAAGGAAATAGATGTTAAGGATGTCTTGGGGAGGGCTGGAGAGATGGCTCAGCCAGTAAAGGCTAGGCTTACCACCCAAAAGGATATATTTTTGGTTTGGATTTTTTGTTTGTTTTTTAGCTTTGTTTGTTTTGAAGAGGTTATATGTGGTTTTTGTTTTCATAGATTAGTGCATGTAACTGTGGGTAACTGGCTAGACAGCTCAAGATCTAAAGCTCTGCCTTTCTGGGAGGAGCTAAAGGTTCTGTCTTAGGCAGAAAAAAATCTTCTTAGGGAAACCCAGCTCTGCTTTTAAATACAATTAAGCGATTAAATCAGCTCCATTTAGATTCTAGAAGATAACCTTCACTTCAAGTCAACTGATGATGAACTTCAGCCGTACTTTAAAATGCCATCACAGCAATGCTACTTTTGACTGATTAATCAGACTACACCCTGGCCATATTGATGTGCTGAACTGTATCCCAGGTTTATTTAGACATAAGCTAAAATGGTCTCTGTAGAATAGAGTATGAATAGAAAGAAAAGGAAGGTACCTAAAAGGTAGCTTATAGATTAAAATAATTTTCTTATATTTGTTTACTGTCAGGTTTATCTCATATAAAGTGCTTAGGTGTAGTTGTGTAGAGGCATCATTAGGCAATAATTCAAGAAGATAAGAAGTATGATTAACTGTATTTCAGTCCTGACACTGTAATTAGCATTTTTATTTTTCCCATTGTTTGGGTATGGAAAACAAATTTGAATAAATCAATAGCCATTTTGCATTAGGGAGTTCAAACTTGAATTTGAACAACACATAGTTATTACAATAATCTCTTCTATACCCTGAATACTTCTAGTTCTTTGACTATACTAAGCAGAGCTTTGTGTGATGTTATTTTGTCTCCTTTTTTCTCTGTAAGTCAATCCTTGCCATTATAAGAAATCAAATATGACCCTGAGCTTTATTGCCTATTGTGATAGGTTTCTTTTAACTGATTAATATGTGATCTCTGTGTAAGAAAAAAAAAGGTATGGAAAATACTAGGAAAAAGGGATGTCTCTCCATGTTAGTGAGCACAGTTCTCATTCCTCCACAGTGAGTCTGTGTCTCTCGTTCAGCACTAAGGTCACCATATGAGGCTGCCTTATTTTCAGTACTGAGCATAAGAGATGTCTAGCATCCAAAAGGATGAATAAAGATGATAGCCAGGCAAAATGACTTCCCAGATGCTGCTTTTTCAAAAGCAGGAAGCAACTCAAACCTACTTCCTGTCCCTAACTTTCAAGTAGAGAAAAGGCTGGTGTCTGCTAGAGCCTCGGAGAGTGAACATTGTGGACAGAAGGAAGTTCCTTTGACATTGCACTTTGTCACTTGTATGTGAAGTTTCCTTGAAACACCTATAAACTTTGGTGGCTAAGGATATTTACTAAAAGAGCTGCGGAGTCAGGCATGGTGGTGCACACCTTTAATCCCAGCTCTGGGAAGAAAAGGCAGATCTCTGGGAGTTCAAGGCCAGCCTAGTTGACATAGCAAATTCCAGGCTAACCAGAGCTATATAATGAGACCCTGTCTCAAGATAAATAAATAAACAAACAAATTTCAGGAGAGAGTCCCTCTAAATCAAAGACATCAAGTTTTAACCTTCTTTCTCCAGGTACTCTTAAAAACAGACACATAAATGATCCAAACATGTGTGCACATATTAATTCAGCATATATAGTAGAAACTTTTTGTTGGTTTGAATGAAGCAGATGATAAGAATGATGGTGACATTTGGCTAGAAACCAACTCTCCAGGAAAAAGTCATAAAACTCTAGCATTTGTGTGCTTACCGCCCAAAACTACAAGATCACCCAGCTCAACACCTTCATTTTAAAGAAAAGGAAACTGGTTTTGGGCACTGAGAAGATAGTTAAGTCTGTCAAGTTTGATTCCATGAACTCCAATTTAGAAGGCAGGCAGTGTGGCACACGCTTGGGCTTGTAGCAGTAGGGAGACGGAGACAGGTGGATTTCTGGAGCTAAGTAGCCAGCCAGCCAAGTCTATCTGGGGGGTCCCAGGGCAGTGAGGGACCCTGCCTAAAGCAAAACAGCAAAGTCGACAGTGTCTGAGGAATAACACCCATGTTGACCTCTGCCTCATGCCACGTGTTCACATGCCAAACTCTGTGTGTGTGTGTGTGTGTGTGTGTGTGTGTGTGTGTGTGTGTGTGGCGTGCACAAACTGAAGCTTAGAGAGGTAAGTTCAGACACTTCGGCTACATCTGCAATCTCTTACCACTTCTCTCTTAGCTTTGCTTAATTGTTGAAACTTAAAAAAAAAATCACTACTACTGTTATAAATCAGAAAAGTAGAACTCCAGCAGTCATTAGAAGAAATGAGACCAGTAAATGTATTGCCCCCCAAAAAGTATAAATTGGTATGAATTCTTTCCAGGTTTCTGCTTTGAAACAACACAAATGCAGTAAAATATTCATAAATCATTTCTTTGCAAATTATTGAAGATAACGTGAGTCGCACATATTCAGGCTTGAAAGTCAAACAGTCCTTTTCATTTATATAAAATTGAAGATGCAAGAAAACCTAAATGTAGAGATAAAGTAAATAGGATTCTGTCCCTCTTGACTAAGCCTCCACTCTATGGCCATGGCCATTTTGACATTTTTCCTAAAACAATACAGCTACACTGTCCAACACGACAGGCCCTAGTCACATATGGTCATTTACATATAAACTACAAGTTATTTTCCTTACTCACCCAAGACACATTTCAAATATTCAGTTGCCACAGGTCTAGTGGCTACCATAATGATCACCATAGATATAGAACACTTACATCACAGAAAGGTCCATTGGACATTATTGCTCAATAAAACATTCTCCTATTCACCTTGAACTATCCCCGCCACCCTTCACTTCTAGAATTAGCCAACTAATTTTGTAATGGCCTTGGTCTCCACTTTGCCATGGCTTAGCAATGTAGCCCTTGGGTAAGTCAACCTGCTCAGCTGGTTTGCTCATGTTTCACATCATCATAATTCCTTCTCCATCTGTCCCAAAGATTATTCTGAAGCTCGAGTAAAAATGTAACCATCCAAATAGAAAGGACTATTGTTTCCAGAAGCCCTTTTCCTATTGTAAATGTTCCATTAACTGTTAAGAAAATAAAAATCTTTAAAATGTTTGCACTTAAATTTTGGGATAAGTATTATAATCTCTGTATAACACTGTAGCCAATCATGTCTTCCATCATTACCACAGCATATGTTTTTCTAGTATGATTGGGCTTATTCTGTAGATACCAAGTCATCATAAAGTAATAGACTTCACTGTGTGTCACCAGAGAAAATATGTCTGAAGTTGTTTATCCAGTTGTAAAATTATGATGTGGCATATTAGTCAATCATAATTATGGTAATAATGAGTAATGTTTATGAATGTTGCTAGGAGTTTTTCTAAGTGTTTCATACATGTTGTCTCACTACATTCTTGCCATAGGCCAGAACAGCTTTACTTACTAGCCAATGGGAACAGCATATACTTACAACACACAGAAAGATATCCCACAGCAATCTACATTCTGCCATGTGACTCATGGCTTGTTACCTCATTTTTTAACATGTCCTGCTTGCTCAGCAGCTGGCTGGCTGGCATCTGCTTGACTCCACCATTCTTTCTCCCAGCATTTTCAGTTTGGCTTTCCTGCCTAGTCTTATTATGCCTTGCTATAAGCCAGTCAGCTTTTTTTATTAACCAATGAGAGTAATACATATTCACAGCATACAGAAGGATTATCCCACAGCAAAGAGGGATGTGCCATATTATAGTTTTACTTTAACTGTATTTTATTTCAGTGTAATCACACATAAGCAAGTATACAACTCATAAGTCTATACCTTGGTGATTTTTGTAGAGAATATAATCTCATGTAGCCAGAATCTAAATTAAGAAATAGAATTATTTCTAGAACACCCAAAAATACACAGTGATTTGTTTCCTATCTTTTCCCTTGTGCAAGGAATAACAATGTGACTAGTGGCACTAAAAATTAGTTTTTACGTTGAAAATTTTACATTTAATTTACTGTTTCATTTATTTAATCTTATACTGTTAATATTTACTCAGATTTTTGAATGTGGTTGTTTATCTGTTCTGTCACTATATATCCATTGGTGAATATACCATTCATTTCTTACAAGTTTTACTGAGTAAGTATGGCTTATATTCCTTTTCTGGGACTCACCACATAAAAAGTACCGTATACTATGTGATTTAAGAAACATAAATGTATACTTACATAGTTCTGCAGGTTAGAAGTTCAAGATCAGGGTTTCAACAGGGCTAGTTCCTTCAGATATCCATAAAAAAGAATTCAGTTTCATGGTTCCCCAACAATTTCTGGTGGTTTACTTGCAATCTTTTGTGTTCAGTGGTGTGTAGATGTAGCACTCACTCTCTATCTTCATCTACTTATGGTATTCCTTGTGTGCCGGATTATACAAAAAGGTTTCCATTCTGTGGGGTCACCAGATAGTGGATTAGGCTGCCAAAGTGCTGACTTCATCTTCACCACAACTACCTACAGCAACACTATTTCCTTAAAAATTCAAGTCCTCAAGCCAGAACTTTCAACACAAAAATGCAGGAGTTACAAAAAAAAAAAAAAAAATCAATGCCTAAGAGAGACATTATGAACAATACTGCTAAACATGTTCTCATACATGTTTTGGTGAATAGATGTATTCATATTATAAAATGTATGTCCCTACAAGTGCATATGCTGGATTATAAATATGTGTGTAATAAATGTTTATATAAATATATGTGTCTTTGTAGGTTTGTGTGTGTGTGTGTGTGTGTGTGTGTGTGTGTGTGTGTGTGTGTGTGTGTATTTTAGCTTTAGCTGATACTGCAAAACGATTTTCCAAAATGGTTATAAGATTACTTTTTCTTCTAATCAGTATATGGGAATTAAATTGATCTACAGCTTTGCAAATATTTGGTTTGCAAAAAAACAAAAAAAAAAAACCAGCTTTTAAATATTAACCATTCTGGGGCTAGAGAGATGGCTCAGCAGTTAGGAGTACTGGCTGCTCTTCCAGAGGACCTCAGTTCAATTCCCAGCACCCACATGGTGACTCCCAACCATCTGTAACTCCACTCACTTCCAGGGGCTCCAATGCCCTCTTCTGGCCTCTGGTGCATCAGGCATGCAAGAGGTGCACAGGTATACATGCAGGCAAAACACCCATACACACCATGTAAATTTTTTTTAATTTAATTTTAGCCAGTTTTGTAAGAGTCTTGCTTCTCCTAATGATAGTAAGTTAGAACTTGTTTAGATGCATCTTGGTCATCTTTTCTAAACTGCTCATTTGTCTGCTTTCCATAGCATTGACTTTTTTGTTGTTGCTGGATTTGCCAGCAGTTTTTTTTTTATTTTGTTTGTTTGTTGGTTGGTTTGTTGGTTAATTGAAATGGCTCTTTTGTTAGATATAGTTTTGACATTAGCAGTAGCCCTTAGCATCCATTTTCATTCTTCTTGATCTTGAGGCGAGCTTCAAGAGTGGACATTTGCGGTTGAGTTCCTCCCTTTTCTGAATTCCTCTCGGGTGTGTTTTAAATGCCTGTCCTAGAGTTTCTATAGCTGTGATAAAATGTCATGACCAAAAGCAACTTGTGGAGGAAAGGGTTTATATTTCATAGTTTTCCAGATGACAGTCCATCATTGAGGGAAGTCAGGGCAGAAATTCAAGCAGGGCAGGAACCTGGCGGCAGAAACTCATGCAGAGGCCATGGAGGAGTGCTGCCTGCTCCTCATGGCTTGCTCAGCCTGTTTCTCACTCCATACAGGATGACCTGCACAGGAATGGCTCCACCCACAATGAGCCGGGTCCTCCCACATCAGTCATCAATCACGAAAATGCAGTACAGGCAAAATTTATAACCGCATTCTCTCAAATGAAATTCTGTCTTCCCAGATGGCCCTAGCTTGGTCAACTTGACATAAAAATCATCCAGGACAATGCCCAATCAATGATGGGAGGGAAAAATCATCCTATAAAGCAGAAACAGGAGCTGTAAACTATGCAGAACCCGTCCATCAGTAGATGGCCTATGTGAAGGTTGATGGCTTCCTTCATTACTCAATCTTTAGTTTCAGGAATGAATGCGTTTATATTTGCCTCTGTGAGCATCAAATTCAGCTGCTACTGAAGTTCCTTTCACAGACTGTAGCTGTTCTGCCTGCTTGCCTTTCTTTGTAGGTTTTCATCAGGCTTGATTCCCCTTTCCTCAGCTCTGATATTAAGATTTATTCATAATGTTACTGGGATGGGGTTCATTCTCTCTCAGAACTTACTATGGGCCCTGCACAGAGTAGGCCACCCTTATTACTTTACTAATTGACTGATGCTCCTGTTCCATCACAATGATGGGATGATGATAAAACGCTACTTCATTTAATAAGCATCTTCAGTCTCAACAAACAAATACCTCAAGACATAACAGAAGTGTCACGCTTTACAGGTGCAATGTAAGAAGCCTCTAATAGTTCTCCTTGACTTTCCCTAAGTGTAAATGGGGTTTGGCCACTTAAATGCCATCTCCTTTCTATTTTCATGTATTATTGTACAGTTTCTCCTAAGATCTTAATTCAGTATTGGTTCGATAATGAGCTAAACTACAACTCAGGTTTTAAAAAGTCACTTTATTATTGTGGTAAAATAAACACAATAGAAAAATGGCCATATTAACCATTTTAAGTGTACAGCTCACTGGCATTAAGCACACTCACATTTTCTTGTCTCTGCTACAACCATCATTCACATCCAGAGCTTTCACCATCACATACTGTAACTGTGTGCCTATTGAATATCAACTATATGTTGCTTTCGCCTCCTCGTCTCTGGGAACTGGTCACCTTTCTGATTTCTGTCTCTATCATTTTGCCTCATTAAAATATTTAATCTATGTGAAATTATATATTTGGGTTTTTTTTTTCTTTGACTTACTTTAATTACCATAAAGTCTTCAAAATTCACCCGTGTTGGGCTGGTGAGATGGTTGATTAGGTGACAGTACCTGCTGTCAAGCCTGATGACCCCCAGGAGCAACATGATGGAAGGAAAGAACTGACTGTGTGTGACACACGGACACATTTGTGCAGCCGCACATGTATCAACAATGACTCAAATTGTTTTCCTTTTGATATGATAGAATGTCATCCATGTTACAGCACGTGGTAGGACTATTTATGTGGCAAAATAATGTTCTGTTGAAGGATAAGCTAAGATTTATTTATATAATCATCACTGAATAGACATTGGGCTGTTTCCATTTGAGATATTTTTATTTAATCTCTGTAACTACAGCCCAAGGCAAAACTGAGTTTTAAAGCTGGTTCTGTCATTAGATATCAGTTGACCCTAGATAAGTTGAGTATTCTCTTTATATCTTAATTTCTTCATTAAAAATCAAAATGAATGTACCCACCTTACTGTAGTGGAGTGAACATTTAATAAGAAAACAAAATATCTAGTGTATCTAGAGCCTGCCAAATAGTTGGGTATCTATCAGCTGGCAGCTAGACAGGGTTCACCTTGACAATTGAAGAGTTTGCTCCACACATCTAAGATGACATCCAGACTGATGTATACAATACATATCTTGCTTTATGAAAAGTCATCTTAGGTCAAATATATATGGCTTATCCCCAAGATACTTTTAGCTTGCACAGTAGATTAAAATCAATGAAGGGAGACAGGGATAATTTATGAACCATGTCCTTTTTCTTCCGGCCACAGTCTGTTTGC